GAGGGGAGGGGGGCCCCACAGAGGGCAGAGGGGAGGGGTGCCCCACAGAGGGCAGAGGGGAGGGGTGCCTCACAGAGGGCAGAGGGGAGGGGGGCCCCACACAGGACAGAGGGGAGGGGTGCCCCACAGAGGACTTAGGGGAGGGAGGCCCCCACAGGACAGAGGGGAGGGGGGCCCCATACAGGGCAGAGGGGAGGAGGGCCCAGCAGAGAATGAAGGGAAGGGGGCCGGGGAGCCCCACAGAGGGCAGAGGGGAGGGGGGCCCCGCAGACGGCAGAGGGGAGAGGGGCCCAGCAGAGAACGAGGGGAGGGGGCCGGACAGATGCCCTTGGACACACGAGGGGCTCATCACCCTGGCCCACCTGAAACCCAAGGTCACAGAGGAAAACCAGTCCCCGAGGGCACCCATCTAGTCAGGGACAGAGCCCACACCTGCCCTCTCCCCTCCAAGAAGGGGGCTGCCTGGGTCTCAGCGCTCTCTCTGTGTCTCCCCAGGTGTCTTTCTGCCCCCATCCCCCGCAGCAGCCAACCAGCCAGGCCTGGAAGATGTGGGGATGGTGGCTCTGGCACCCCTGGCTGACGTGCTGAGCAGCGCGCAGCCCAACCCCGCGACGGGTTCCATCGTGAGCCCCCTGACAGGCCAGTTCAGCGCGCTCCTGTCTGGCTCCCTGCCTGTGTCGCAGAACAACCAGCTCAGCAGCCTCCTGGCTGGCCCCGTGGCCGTGCCCCCGGCTAGCACGCTGCCCTGCCCCCTGGGCCTGCCTTCAACCGGCCCCCTGAGCAGCCACCTGACCAGTACAATGGCAGTGCCCCCAGTGGGCACGCTGACCAGTTCCCTCGGTCTGACTTCCACCGGCCCCCTGACTCCGAGCAGCCCCATGGCGGTGCCCCCAGCCGGCACGCTGACCAGTTCCCTGGGTCTGACTTCCACCGGCCCCCTGACTCCGAGCAGCCCCATGGCGGTGCCCCCAGCCGGCACGCTGACCAGTTCCCTGGGTCTGACTTCCACCGGCCCCCTGACTCCGAGCAGCCCCATGGCGGTGCCCCCAGCCGGCACGCTGACTACCTCCTTTGGACTGACTTCGACCGGTCCCCTGACTCCAAGCAGCCCCCTGATTGCCCCCACGATGGCCCCTCTGGCTGTACCTCAGAACCTGCTGGCCAACCCCATGGGCGACCTGGTGCTGTCAGAGGCCACGAGGGTGCGGCTGTCGGAGCCCATGCGAAGGTGCTCCTCTGGGCCCCACCCCCCAGCTGGCTTGGGGCCCCCCGCCCCCTCCAAAGGTAACAGGTGTGGGAAGGGAGGGGTGGCAGGGTGCCCTGGGGTGGGGGCAGTGGGGCAGGTCCCAGTCCGCTTGGCTCTGACCCTCCTCTCACCCCCCCCACCCCACGTCCCTAGTCCTGATGTCTGCTGAGCACCCCCGGCCGTCCCAAGACCTACAGGCCCACAGTGTGACATTTGTGGGGGCACCCATCCAGACATCCACCCCCATCAGCCCCACCACGGCCTTCTCCTATGGCGTCTCGGACCCCCGGACCCAGCCCCGTGCCCCCCAGGGAGAGGTGGCCCCTGGCCCCATCCTTGCCACCTCCAGTGCCTGCTCCTTCGCCCCCACTCCTGCCCCCCAAGCTGCCGCTGCCGACCGCGCTTCCTCCAGCGCCACCCACATCGTCCAGGGCGCCACCCCCTCCGCCGGGCGGCCTTCACTCCCGGCCAACTCCCCGACTCGCACACCATCCTCCCCAGCTTCAGTCAATGATACCCGGGGGTCTCAAGCCTCAGAAACGTCGCGGAAAAGCATCTTGGATCTGGAGCGGAAGCTGGCCCACCGCAAGGGCAGCAAGTTCCCCGACAGCCCCCGAGGTGAGCGACCGCTGCTGCAGCCGCTCCCGCGAGCGCGCCGGCGGGGTGGGTCCTCTGACGACACCCGTCTCGCCCCCAGAGTCAAAGCAGCTGGCCTGGGAGCGGCTGGTGGGGGAGATTGCCTTCCAGCTGGACCGCAGGATCCTGTCCAGCATCTTCCCCGAGCGCGTGCGCCTCTACGGCTTCACTGTCTCCAACATTCCCGAGAAGATCATCCAGGTCGGTGGCCGCCCGCAGGGACGGGGTGCGCGGGTCCCTATGGGGTCGTTGGGGGCCAAGCGCGTGGGAATCTGAGGGGTCCCTGGGATGGAGAAAGCACAGTTTCTGGTCCAAGGGGCCAGAGGATGTCCCAGCTGGTCCCGCAGCAGGAGCAGCCCACCCCCACCCGCATGGCCTCCCCAGAGAAGGGGAGGGGAGGGGAGAACTTAGGCCACTCTCCCCCTTTGCCACCGCAAATGGCCTCAGGGTGGCTGGACAGCCTCAGAGTCGCTGGATGGCCTTGGGGTGACCTTGGGGTTGGCCAGACAGCCTCAGGATAGTCAGCCCTCAATCAAGGGCCTAGCGGCCTGCAGTGCACGGTCACCCTCGTGGGCCCACACAGCCAAAGGTCTCTCCCTGGCCCTGTGGGTCCCTGCGAGGGTCACTGGGGCTGCAGGGGACACAGGTCCTGGGCCCCCAAGCAGCTGGCTGCCTCGTCTCCAGGAACCTCAGGCCAGGGCTCATTGCAGTGTATTCCCAGGACACCGTGCACGTCCCCCAGCGCCTGTGGACGAGCACGGGGGAGGACGCTTCCCTGCTCACGAACGTTAGAGCTGTAGAGACACCGAGGGGGCATGGCCGTCCGAGCGCCGCCTGCAGACCATTACCCCCTCCGGCCTCTCCACGCAAACACAGGGGGCGGGACCCCGCCGAGGAGACAGCGTGGGTGGGCTGCGACCCCACAGCTCCTCTTGGAAAGCAGCCGCTTTGTGTTCCTGCCGCTCTGTCTCTTAGGCCATCTTTATTCTGGATTTGAGACTTCTGTGTATAATCTCTACGGTCGCTATGAGTCAGAAGCCACTCGACGGCAACAGGGTGGGTTTTTTGGGTTTTGGTGTATAATCTAGAAGGAGCCCTGAAGGCGCGGTGGCTAAGCGCTGGCCTGCTAACCTCTGATACAAGTTATTTTTGGTTCCGAGGATCGATTAGCCGCCAGGTGTGAAGCGCCTCTTCCTTTTGTAGAGGTGTCCTTTGTTGTAGGGTTTCCGCTTCAACATGGTCCAGATTATCCATCTTTTCCTCTATTGTTTGTGTTCTTCTCATCTTGCTTAAGAAATCTTGTCCTCTCAGAACCAAAAACAAAGACACAGAGTGGATTCCAACTCATAGTGACCCTATCGGGCAGAGTAGAACTGTCTCATAGGGTTTCCAAGGAGCAGCTGGTGGATTCGAACTGCTGACCTTTTGGTTAGCAGCCGAGCTCTTAACCACTGCGCCACCAGGGCTTCTCCCTCTCAAAAGGTCCTAAAAATACTCTATAGTTTCTACCGTCTAAATAATTCTGTATTTTCTTCTAAAGGTATAAAGTTTAGTTTTTCACACTGCTGCATCGTTAATTCACTCTATGATCACTGTGAATGATATGAGGTGAGCAACTGCTTCTCCCCACATACAGACACCCTAGTCCTAGCACCACAGTCCAGCAAGACACAGGTGGCCCACTCAAGTAGGACCGAGGGAACAGAGTTACTACAGGGCAGCGTGGAATGGCCCCACCAGGGATAGTGCAGCACGGCCAGTAGACTGAGGGGGCGTGGAGGGGGTGGTGGAGACCAGAGGCAAAAAAGGGCTGGGTGGACAGGGGCCCCACCAGGAGGAGCTGAGACCTTCCTTCAAGGGGCAGAGTTGGCACAGGTGACCCCACAGGGAGGGAGCCCCACTCCCACCCTCCCAGCTCCTCGTGGGCCCCCAGTGGCTGAGTTCAACCAGACGCTGGAGGATATGAGAGTCCACTGGTGTGGTCCTTTGGGTTAGCCCCCTAAAGCTCAGGGCAGGCAGGGAAGGGTGGAGCAGGGCAGGGACAAAGGGAAGCTGCCCAGCCCCACTGCTCAGTAAGGCCCCTGGGCCCGTCTACGGTTCTGTCTGTGCGTCTCCGGTCTGCCACTCTGTCCTGCACTAGTTCCACGTTGTCTGCATTGCTGGAGGGTGGAGGAGGTCTGGTTTCCTTCAGGACCAGTCTTCCCACCTTGCTCCTCTTTCAACGTCTCTTGGCCCTTCTGGACACCTGGCTCTCCTAAATGAATTCTAGGATCAGTTCATCCAGTTCCAGGAAAATCCCAGTTTCCATCTGGAGTAGTTGTGCGGTGGTTTCCAGATTAATCTGGGGAACATGTGCATCTTTGGTGCTGGTTGTCCTCAGCACTGCTTCGTTTCTGTTGCTCCTGCCAGTGGGCTCTTCTGGCCTCGCTTCTGGTTGATGACTCTCCACGGCATCCAGCAGTGCTGCCACCGCAGCTCTTCACAAATGCACACTGCTCGTGGTTATTTAAAAATCACAACCAACGCTATAGAAGCATGGTTATTTACATCTCTAAAATGCAGCATCTGATGTTCAGTTGGCAAAGACCACATTTAATTATAAGTGTGACTCTAGTAGTCCACATAGAAATTAGATACTACACTGTAGAAAGAAGTTTGATATTGTGTGAAAAACCAGTCCAAATAGAAGATTATAAAAATGCATCGATCTTTACTGCAGGAATTAGCTGTGCAAGAGTTCTCCTGCCTTTCACAGGATTCCCTTTTACTTCACATGCATGTTGCTCGTTACACCATTGAATTAACAGTCACAGCACGAGATCCGACTCTTTGGGGAAGAGACAAGAAAATTGTATTCGTTTCCTAGGGCTGCCATAGAAAAGCCACAAACTGGGTGGACACAAATCAACCCATAACACTGGGGATGTCCAAATCTAAGTCATTTGCTCCCCGAGTACTGTGTAACTTTGTATCATAAGGCTGAAGGGGATAGAGTCCCATTACTCAGTGAGGACTCCTTGATTTTCTTCACTGAACTTCTCTTTTTTATGACTTCACAGACAATTATGCCATCTTTTAAGCCCAACTATAAAATTTTGCTGAAGATCATTCAAAAACAGTTACAGAAGTACATTGACAGAAAACTGCCAGAAGTTCAAGCCAGATTCAGAAAAGGATGAACGAGGGATATCATTGCTGATGTCAGCTGGATCTTGGCTGAAAGCAGCAAATACCAGAAAGATATTCACCTGTGTTTTATTGACTATGCAAAGGCATTCAACTGTGTGGATCATAACAAATTATGGATAACATTGTGAAGAATGGGAATTCCAGAGCACTTAATTATGCTCATGTGGAACCTGTACATAGATCAAGAGGCAGTCAGTCATTTGAACAGAACAAGGGGATACTACATGGTTAAAAATCAGGAAAGGTGTGTGTCAGGGTTGTATCCTTTCAACATACTTATTCAATCTGTATGCTGAGCAAATAGTATGAGAATCTGAAATATACGAAGAAGAACAGGGCATCAGGATTGGAGGAAGACTCATTAACAACCTGCGATATGCAGATGACACAACCTTGCTTGCTGAAAGTGAAAAGGACTTGAAGCACTTACTGATGAAGATCAAAGACCACAGCCTTCAGTATGGATTACACCTCAACATAAAGAGAACAAAAATCCTCACAACTGGACCAATGAGCAACATCATGATAAACGGAGAAAAGATGGAAGTTGTCAAGGATTTCATTTCACTTGGATCCACAATCAACGCCCACGGAAGCAACAGCCAAGAAATCAAATGATGCATTGCATTGGGCAGATCTGCTGCAAAAAGACCTTTTAAAGTGTTAAATAGTAAAGATGTCACCTTGAGGACTAAGGTGCGCCTGACTCAAGCCATGGTGTTTTCAATAGTCTCATATGCATATGAAAGCTGGACAATGAATAAGGAAGACCAAAGAAGAATGGATGCTTTTGAATTGTGATGTTGGCGAAGAATATTGACTATACCATCGACTGCCAGAAGAATGAACCAATCTGTCTTGGAAGAAGTACAGCCAGAAGGCACCTTAGAAGCGAGGATGGTGAAACTCTGTCTCACGTATTTTGGACATGTTATCAGGAGGGACCAGTCCTTGGAGAAGGACATCATGCTTGGTAGAGGGTCAGTGAAAAAGAGGAAGACTCTCAATGAGATGGACTGACACAGTGTCTGCAACAATGGGCTCAAGCATAACAATGATTGTGAGGATGGTGCAGGACTGGGCAGTGCTTCGTTCTGTTGTACATGGGGTCACTATGAGTTGAAACCCACTCAACAGCACCTAACAACAACAATAGCTTGTTTATTGTCTTGGTTCTTCTGTGTAGACAATCATATTGTCTACAGGTAAGGACAGTTGCAACTCTTCTAATTCTTCAGTCTAATTTCTTTACTATCTTAGTTATCTAGTGCTGCTATAACAGAAATATCCCAAGTGGATGGCTTTGACAAACAAATTTATTCTCTCACAGTCTAGGAGGCTAGAAGTCCAAATTCAGGGCATCACCTCCCAGGGAAGGCTTTCCCTCTGTCTGTTCTGGGGGAAGATTTTTGTTATCAATCTTCCCCTGGTCTAGGAGCTTCTCAGCGTAGGGACCCCAAGTCTCAACTTCTTTCTTGGTCTCATGAGGTCCCTCTCCTCTCTGCTCGATTCTCTCTTTTATATCTCAAAAGAGATTGACTCAAGATACAACCTAATCCTGTAGATTGAGTCCTGCCTCATTAACAATCCTGCCTCATTAACATCATAGAGGTAGGGTTTACAACACATAGGAAAATCACCTCAAATGACAAAATGGTGGACAATTACACAATACTGGGAATCATGGAGTAGCCAAGTTGACACATTTTTAGGGGACAAAATTCAATCCACAACATTTATCATATCCTATCTTACATTGTCTAGATTCCCAGTTATAGTATTTAATAAGAGCAGATCTGAGATGGGCAACATTACCCTGTTTCTGACTTTACTAAGAATGCTTCTAGTCTCACTGTTACGTATGATGTGTGTTCTAGGCTTTTTGACAGACGTCTTTATGAGGCAAATCAATCAGGATTCTTGGTTGCAAACAACAGAATCCACATCCATTGAGTTTAGCAAAAAGGGGTTTATTACAAACGTTTAGGTGGTTGGAGAATCACCAGGAAGGACACAGAATCAGGCTTATTTGCTATACAGCCAGGAAAATTGCCAGCACGCCAAGAGACTTTTCCAGCGGGCACCATTGCCACCACTGCCCCCAGGGACAGCATGCAAACGCACCCCAGGAGGCCCAACATTTGGTACAGCTCTCTCTGAAGACCCAGGACCATGGCCCTTGTGCTCCCCAGAAAACCTGCTCTCCCTGCGTAAGCCGCCTCCTCAAAGTGCTGACTTCCACCTACAAGTTCCACCCATGTGCCTCTGCTTGTCGGAAACCCATGTCAGGGGTAGCTATAGCTGCGGGGGAGTCTTAAACCGTGATTTTAGCTTCCAGCCTTGTGTAGTTCAGGAAGGCAATAGAAGGGGCTAGAACAGATGCTGGGTGAGCCAGTTGCAGCATCTGCCACATCAGGATGAAGTTTTCTCTCTATTCCTCATTTGCTGAGTTTTTATCTCAAAAGAATGTCAGATTTTGTAAAATGCTTTTTCAGTCTCTTATTGAGATGATCCCATGGTGTTTTTTCCTCTCCTTTTATCTTTTAGGAAACCCTGGTGGCATAGTGGTTAAGAGCTATGGCTGCTAACCAAAACGTCAGCAGTTTGAATCCACCAGGCGCTCCTTGGAAACTCTATGGGGTGGTTCTACTCTGTCCTATAGGGTGGCTATGAGTCGGAATCAACTCGACAGCAATGGGTTTTGGTTCTTATCTTTTAACCTGTAAAGTTACATTAGAAGCACGTCTCTGGGATAAACCTTACTTAGACACGACGAATTATTTTTCGCCCACCGGCAGGCTGTTTTCCTTCTGTAGTTTTCCTTAGCTAGTTAGGGGCTCCGCCAAGCTGTTGCTTCAGTAATCCAGGAGTTAGGTCTCTGGGTGATGCATACAGTTTGCTCTCTGCTACTAACCAAAAAGTTGACAGTTTGAATCCACCCAGTTGTGCCATGGAAGAAAGTCCTGGCGGTCTACCTCTGTAAGATTACAGCCATTGAAAACCCTACAGAGTACAGTTTTGCTCTGAAACACGTGGGGTCCCCACAAGTCAGAATGGACTCGGCAACAGGTTTGGTTCCAGCTTTTGTTTTAATTTCTCCACAGGGACATTCAGCGCCCTGTTCTCCCTCTCCGCGTGTCCTGGGAAACTCAACCCAGGGGGCGGAGCTTGGTTCTCCAGGGGGCGGGGCTCACAGCCGTAGTCTCAACCCATTGGCTCAAACTTGGTGAGCTGCCAAGCCTGGCCGCAGGGATGTGGAGGATGTCGGGACTTGTAGTCAACAGAAGGAAGGCGGGGACAACTGCCTGGGGGACTGTCTCTTCCTAACCCCTAAGTGAGATGCCTCTACTTTGTCCAGTTTTACTTTGCTGATCCTCTCCACTGATTCTTTGGAATCTGTTTCCTAATTCCCTTCTTTGTGTTTCCTTAAGATTTACTTTATTATTCTGCTTTCTCAAGTTGAACACTTCTTTTTTTTTCACATCTTTGTTTTTAAATAAATACATGTAGGGCAATAAGTGCCCTCTAATCAGGGAGATATTCAAAATGTTTCACACCTGGTACAACACGCGCACGAGGCAGAGTGGACAGTGGCCTGAGGAGCTCGGCAACAGCCGGGGGCCTGGCAGAGCGTGGGGCGGCCAACACCACTGTCATCCCCAGCTGGTCCCAAGAGTCGGCAGCAATTTAGCTGCAGCAGCCCGGCCACGAGTGCCCCACGAGTGCCTACTGAGTGACCAGCCTGCCCTGCGTCCCTCAGGTTACACAGGAGGGCTTGTGTGCTGCTCAGCTCCAGATATTTATCGGCTGCATTTGATTTCCTCGTTAACCCACGAGTCCATTAGAGGTCCATCATCTAAGGGGCATTTGGCTCTGTTTTCTTCCCCCACATATAATTTTTCTCAAGTGTGGTAAAATACGCGTAACAAAATTTACCATTTTCACCAGTTTCCAGTGTGCGCCCAAGTAGCATTAGGTACAGTAATGACGTTGTGCGAATGTACTTAATCACTGCTATTTCCAGGTCTTTCATTCATCCCAGAAACTCTGTGCTCCTTAAGCAATAACTCCCTTCTCGTCCCCCCACCTCCTGGTAACCTCTAATCTACTTCCTGTCTCTCTGCATTTGCCTATTCTAGACAACTCACGGAAGTGAGACTACCCAGTATTTGTCCTTTGGTGCCTGGCTTCTTTCACCGAGTACAATGTTTTCAAGGTTCATCCACGCTGTAGCACGTGTCAAAACTCCGTTCTTTGTTATGGCTGCATAATATTCCATTGTATGGGGTGCACAGGCAGTGGGCCCCCACTCCCCACAGCAGCTGGGGCTTAAAGAGTCCCTCCCACTCTGCTTGGTGCGTGCGGGCATCACCGGCTGCAGGCTCACCCATCCCCCACAAATGTGTGCTGAGTTCCTGCGGTCTGTCCAGCCAGGGCCTGGGAAAGGGGGACAGATGTCCCAGGGGCCGTGGGGAGCCCAGAGTTGGGGAGCTGGCGTGTCCCCAGGCGGCTGACCAGGCAGCGGCAGCGAGCACAGGGCACTGCAGCACCATGGAGAAGCCTGCTCCATCCATACTGCTCAGTGACCACCAGCCGGGGGGCGGGTGATGCTAAGGAACTTGGGCAAAGGAGTGGGGAAGCACATTCCCAGCAGGGAGGGAACGAGAACAGCGGGCGTGTGGGAGACAGTGTGGGCATCAGAGGGGCCACCCCTGGCCCGAGAGCTGGGGCAGTGGGGAGCATGGCGGGGGTCAGGCAGGGAGAGGCCTGTCCAACCAGGACTTCAGACCCATTGCTCTGCCAGCCCCACAATGAGGCGGCCTGGAGGCGGGGTCACCTGCGTGGATGACAGGCTACGTAATTTGCGGGGCTCAGTGTAATATAAAATGGGAGGATCTTGTTCAAAAATTACCAAAAATTTAAGACATGACAGCAGAGCACTGAGCCGAGCAAGAGGCCTTCTGAAAGCAACCCATGTGACTGCCTGATAGAGTCGGGGTGCTGATGGAAGGGAGGGCCGAGAGGTCACTGGCTGGCTGGGGGACACGGGCAGTGAGGATGTGGGAAGGGACCAACAGGCCGGGACTAGGAGTGGGCAGGGGACGGGCGCTGGAGAGCCAGAGGGAGCTCCCTCTCTGAGGTCTGGGCCTGCAGTCCTCAGTTCAGAGTGTGTGTGCGTGTGTGTGTGTGTGCATGTCTGTGCACATGTGTGCGCTTGTGTGTGTGCACGTGTGTGTGTGGTGGGGGGCAAGTCAGAGGAGCTGATGACAGAGCCCAGGGCAACAGAAAAGGGACCCGAAGAAGAGGCTGAGGAACAGGGTGGAGAGCAGGAGCTCGGGGGAGACCCCAGGGGTGTCTCCTGCGTCAGGCAACCTGGGGGCACTGTGAGGCGTTGTGAGTCCCCTCGCCCCCACTGTCTTTCCTTTGCCTCTGGACTCCCAGCCATGATCCCCTTTCTGTTCCCCTGCCCTCAGCTCGGCCCCAAATCCCGGGTGGTGGTGCAGCAAGGACAAGGAAGGGGCATCCCCTCGTCCCCTGGACTGAGGCTCTGCTGGGCAGCTGTGGGAGCCTGGCCCTCCCACTTAGGCCCAGCCCACCCGGTGGGCTCCCCCTCGGCACCTCCTCCCTCCATAGTCCTCGTGGGCAGGAGGGGCCTTGACGGCCATGTCCCCGCAGGCCTCCATGAACCCCAACGACCACAAGCTGGACGAGGAGCTGTGCCAGACGCTCACACAGCGCTACGTGGGCATCATGAACCGGCTGCAGAGCCTGGGCTACAACGGGCGGGTGCACCCAGCGCTGACCGAGCAGCTGGTGAACACCTACGGCATCCTGCGCGAGCGGCCAGAGCTGGCAGCCTCTGAGGGCAGCTCCTACACGGTGGACTTCCTGCAGCGCGTGCTGGCGGAGACCGTGCCCCCCAGCATGCTCACCGACGCGCTGCTGCTGCTCTCCTGCCTCAGCCAGCTGTCGCACGATGACGGCAAGCCCATGTTCATCTGGTGACACGGGCATGCGGCCGCCCCGATCTGCCTCGCGCCGCAGGTGCACCATTAAAGCTCCCACGGCCGCTGGCCCTGAGCCGGCACTCTGGTGGTGCTGCTTCCTCTGGGGGGCTCACCACTGCTCCCTGGCGCCCCTCAGTCCTGCCTGCTCTTGCGGTCCATCCTCACCCCGGGCTCCCTCTGCGAGAGCCTCGAGACTCAGGTTCACCCCAAGGCTTCCTCCCGTCACCTGGTGGTGAGGACAGAGTGCACCCCGAGACTTGTAGGAGAAAAGCAGAAGGCAGGAAAGAACTGGCAGCAAAGGGCCGTGGCCCACGGCTGTGTCCTCCTGCAGCACCTGCCGGGGCACACGGAGCCGAGACCTCGGGGAGCAGGACAAGGATGTGGGTGTGGGAGGCCCTCCCTCCCAACTAGGCAGGGACAGGACCCCCAAGGAGGCGGCAGGAGGAGGAGGTAGAGGGAGGGGAGTGGGGAGAACACAGTTGCACCCAAACCTAGGTATGGGGGAGCCCAGGGAAGTGGGGCCCCTTGCCAAGGCATCTGAGGTCCCAGATAAGGGGGCTTACTCCCCAGGGTCCCTGCAGACCCGGGGTAGGGACTCAGGGCTGCGAGGGTGGACCCCACCCACTGCAGGGGCTGACGAGGGCGGGCAAGGACATCACACAGGGGAGGGGAGAGCAGGGCTGGTAGGGTGGGATGCCATAATGCGGCCTGGAGACACCAAGGGAGCACGGTTTAAGCATGGTGCAGGGAGCTGAGGGCGTGTTGGTGGGGGTGGGGCAGGGCAGGAAAGCCCGCAAGTTAGCCTCCAGCCCACACAGTGGAAAACGAGAGCACCCACCCATGGGGAAGGGGAGGGAGGAGGCCAGGCCTGCACAGGCTGCCAGGGATGGGCCAGGGTCAGGCATGCGCACCACGGCAGAAGAGGAGCCACAACAGCCAGAGGAGGGTCAGAGGGGTGCTGGGGCCCTCCTGTGAGGATGCCCAGGCCCCAGAAGCTCCAGGCTCTCTGTCCTCCCCACTCCCAGCCCTCCTGTGCTTTAGAGAAACCCACCAGGCCACTGTGCCTCTTGCTTAGCCCCTCTCAAGGGCAGGGAAGGATGACTGGCTCCAAGAGCACCCTTTGGGGCAGCCCCAACCTGCAGTGCTGGCCTCGGAGCCCAGGGGCCCCACCTCCCCGCCACCCAGGCTGAAGGGCAGGCCTGACCCAAGCCTCCAGGTCTATTATGAGACACCTGTTCCCACACACTGCGTTGGGGCTGGGGCTGGTTCCCAGCCCGCAGAAGAAAGGGGGCCCTAGACCCAGGTTCTGCTGCTATTCTATATTTATGCCTATTCCAAAGAAAGGCGATTCAACAGAATGTGGAAATTATCAAACAATACCATTAATATCACAAGCAAGTAAAATACTGCTGAAGAGCATTCAAAAGCGGTTACAGCAGTACATTGACAGGGAACTGCCAGAAATTCAAGCTGGATTTAGAAGAGGATGTGGAACCAGGGATATCACTGCTGATGTCAGATGGATCCTGGCTGAAGGCAGAAAATACCAGAAAGATGTTTACCTGTGTTTTATTGACTTTGCAAAGGCATTTGACTGTGTGGATCATAAAAAATTATGGATAACACTGCAAAGAATGGGAATTCCAGAAAACTAAACTGTGTTCGTATACTGTACTTAGACCAAGAGGCAGTCATTCGAACAGAACAAGGGGATACTGCATAGTTTAAAGTCAGGAAAAGTGTGTGTCAAGGTTGTATCTTTTCGTCATACTTGTTCAATCTGCATGCTAAGCAAATAATCCAAGAAGCTGGACTATACAAAGAAGAATAGGGCATCAGGATTGGTGGAAGACTCATTAACAATATGTGATATGCAGATGACACAATCTTGCTTGCTGGAAGCAAAGAGGACTTGAAGCACTTACTGATGAAGATCAAAGACTACAGCCTTCAGTATGGATTACACCTCAACATAAAGAGAACAAAAATCCTCACAACTGGACCAATAAGCAACATCTCGATAAATGGAGAAAAGATTGAGGTTGTCAAGGATTTCATTTCACTTGGATTCACAATCCATGCTCATAGAAGTCAAGAAATCAAAAGACGCATTGCATTGGGCAAATCTGCTGCAAAAGACTTCTTTAAAAGTGTTAAAAAGCAAAGAAGTCACCTTAAGGCTAAGGTGCAAGTGACCCAAGCCATGGTGTTTTCAATCGTCTCATATGCATGCAAAAGCTGGACAATGAACAAGGAAGACTGAAGAATCGATGCCTTTGAATTATGGTGTTGGAGAAGATATTGAATATACCACGGACTGCCAGAGGAATGAACAAATCTGTCTTGAAAGAAATACAGCCAGAATGCTCCTTAGAAGCAAGGATGCGAGACTTCCTCCAAAAACTTTGGACATATTATCAAGAAGGACCAGTACCTGGAGAAGGACATCATGGTTGGTATAGGGTCATCGAAAAAAAGGAAGACCCTCAGCGAGATGGATTGACACGGTGGCTGCAACAATGGGCTCAAGCATAACAACAATTATGAGGATGGCGCAGGACCAGACAATGTTTCCTTCGCTGTACACAGGGTTGCTATGAGTCGGAAGCGACTCGCCGGCAGCTAACAACAGGCCCAGGTACCGAGCTGACTGGGAGAGTGGCGCTGCCGTCCTGGAACCATTGGAGCGCGTGCGCGAAAGGGCTCCGCGGAAGGTGAGCCGGCTCTCTCTGGCTCGCGTGGCCCCGGGCGAGCGGCGGGGCAGAAGAAATCAACGGTTCCTCCCCCCGGATTGGGAGTTCCTTGGGGTATGGTTACCGGGCCGCCAACACTGAGGGCCGGCCTTTTGGGGGTTCTGCTTGGCGCTGCGCGGAAGGCGGGTCAGGACACTCCCAGCCCAACCTTCCTTCTAGGGTCGGGCCTTTGAACTCAGGCTCCAGACACCGCGACTCTGAGAGAAAGTGTGTTGGGGGCGGGGTGGACCCCACAGTCTGGGCAGCCGGAGAGCCCACCGATTCCACGCCAACTGGCGGAGGGGGTGGGGCGAGAGGGGCGCAACACTCCCAAAGGTCGCCTATCTTGGGGTTCCCCTGCGGCTTCGGGGAGAGGACTAGGCGGGGCGAGAAGGGCGGGGCGGGGCCGTGAGACCAGGGTTCCTTTCGCTTTCCCTTCCGTTCTCCGCAAGAGCCGCTGAAGTTCCGCGTCCATGAGGAGAGGACATCTTCCGTCGCGCCCTTCTCCCCCTGAGCCCGTGCCCCCAGGCTCGCGGGACACAGCACCTCGGCGCTAGGCACAGGCCGCGCCACGTGGCCTTGACTCCCGTGGCTCCCCTGCAGCTCCCACAGACGCATTGACAAGTCGGCTCGCAGGCTAGAAACGAATGAGCTGCCGCGGTGCCCAGCAATCCCCGCCGGACTGGCCCCCGGCGCCCGGCGCTCTGCGGCCCTCACCCTTCCCGCACCCGGTGCTGCACGCCCTCCATGGCCTGGCCCGCGCGCTGCTCTTCCCAGCCTACTGGGCCCTGGACCAGCTGCTGGGCTACTGGGCCCCAGCGACGCGCGCGGGCAGCCTGGAGCGGCTGAGCGCAGCAGCGCGCGCCGGGGCAGCGCTACTGCTGCTGCTTATCAGCCTGCCCCTGGCGCTGCCAGGTCTGCTGCTCTGGCTGCCACTGCAGGCCTGGCGCCGGCCCTTCTGTTACCAGCCTCCTCCGCAGTCCTGGGCGCCACCCCCGCCCTGGCGCCCGCGCGCTGAGCCCGCGCGCTGCTTTGGCTTCCTTAGCGCCAACCTGTGCCTGCTGCCCGACGGGCTGGCGCGTTTCAGCAACCTGCCGCACAGCCAGCGGCGGGCCCAGGCTGTGGGTGCCGCGCTGCTTGCCGGTCTGCGGTCCTCGCGCTACGGAACCACGGACTGCAGCCCGCCGCAAGCCGGGACGCCGCGCGGGGTGCTGGCGGCCGCGGTGCCCGCGGGCCTGGACTTCGTGTGCCTGCAGGAGGTGTTCGACCTGCGAGCCGCGCGCCACCTCGTACGCCGCCTGGCGCCCAACCTGGGCCCGGTGTTGTACGATGTGGGCGCGTTCGGCCTGCGGGCCGGGCCGCATCTCAAGCTGCTGGGCAGTGGGCTGCTGCTGGCCTCGCGCTTCCCGCTGCTGCGCGCCGCCTTCCGCTCCTTCCCCAATGGGCGCCGCGAGGACGCGCTGGCCTCCAAAGGGCTCCTATCCGCACAGGTACAGGACCCCCGGGCTGCGGCGCGTCCTGGCTAGGGAGGTGGCTAGTGAGGGGCCAGACGGGCGAGGGGAGCTGGGATGTCCGTGGTGTTGCAGGCGCAGCTAGGCATCCTGGATGGCCTCCGCATCGTAGGCTTCCTGCACTGCACGCACTTGCACGCACCCAGAGGTGAGCCGTCCCACCCCCGACTCCGTCGCGGCTGCGAGTCCCAACGCTGACCTGCACCTCCGCAACCCCCTTCCCGTTGGTTTACCACCCAAAGCACTGCAAGTCCCGAGGAGTGCCTGGGTGGGTCCACGGCCCAGGACCCTGAGCGGAGAGGCGTCCACGATACAGATCCGTACCCGGGGCTAAGTCCTCTCTCCCCGCAGAGGACGGGCCGGTGCGCTGCAAGCAGCTGGCGCTGCTGCTGGACTGGGCCGAGCAGTTTGAGGCCGAGAGCCGCCAGGATGGCGAGGCTGTGGCCTTCAGCGTGCTTCTGGGAGACCTGAACTTCGACAACTGCTCACGAGGTAGGCGAGGGCGGCGGGGCGGGGTGTGGCGGGACTAGAGGCGGGCCGGCCCGGCTGCTCTTCTAGCGCCCATCTCTCCGCAGGCGACGCCCGTGAGCAGAAGCACCAGCTCTTCAGCCGCTTCCAGGACCCCTGCCGGCTGGGCTTGCGCCGGGAGCAGCCCTGGGCCCTGGGTACGACCCGGGAGGGCGCTGGGCCTGGGGAGGGCCTAAGGCCAGGTTGGCGCTGACACTAGCCTCCCCCTTTCCCCCCAGGGACACTGCTGAGCACCCGCGTGCTCCACCACTCCGAGGCCAGCTCCCCGGAGATGCTGCGCAGGTGAGCGGCAGACGGGGGGCCAGGTTCCACCAGCAAGGAAGGGGGCACCCTGGTCTTGGTAACACCATTCCCCCCCCACCCAGGGCCCTGGAGCAGGAGGAGGGGCGCCGCCTGTACCTGGCTGGCGGTCCCGCCAGAAGCCGCCCCGCTGAGCCCTGGCGGGGCCGGCGCCTGGACTATATCCTGTACCGTGGAGTGCCCGGGGCCCCGCTGAGCCCGGTGAGTGCCAGAGCTGGGGGGAGGGAGGGCCAGGCCGGCGGCGGGGCGGCCTCCTCAACCTGACTCCCGGCCCAGGAGGTGGAACAGGTGATCTTCAGCACCGCCCTGGCAGGGCTAACTGACCACCTGGCCGTGGGCCTGCGACTCCGAGTGTCAGCGCCCTCGTGACCCAGGGACGCACAGACTGACAGTCGCGCGGGGATGCAAAGATTGACACGCATGCCTGTCAGGGGCCTCCGCGCCCCAGAATGGGCGATGTCAGGGATCTTTATTAGGGGCCTCAAACGGCCTCCTGGGCCCGGCGGTACTCGTACACGCTGCCGCGCTCGGGGAAGGCTGAGGCCTGCGGGGGCGACCCCGGCGGCGGGGCAGGGTCCTCGGGGTCTCCGTAGCCGCCCCCCCCAGGCGTGTGGAGGCAGAACACGTCCTATGAAGCAAAGGGGCGGCTCAGCGCGGCGTCTACTCCGCCGCCTCCCGCTGCACCCGACTACCCAGGCCGCCAATGCGGCCACCACCCGCCTGCCCGCCGGGACCTCGGCCCAGGGCGAGGTGCCCTTTTCCTCGAAAGCCAAATTAAACTCGGCTTCTGGTTATTTGTGTACTTCTGTTCGCCTTCTGCGGGGTGGGGACCGGGCAGGCCACAGCCCTTACCCCAGGGTACACGGACACCGACGTCTTCCCGCCCAAGTTCACGGTGCGGCCGTCCTTGCGGATCAGCAGGTTGAGGCCGCAGGCTCCCGGCTCGCCCCCTGAAGGGAAAGGCAGGTGCGGGGTGGCGGGGCGGCAGGTTGGGAGGAATCAGGACGGGCTGAGGCGGAGCAGCAGAAATCCAGCGGGTGGGAAGGGGCCGGGCCGGGGGGAAGGAGGCGGGGCCGGACGCGTTGCCGCTCACCGTGGAGGCCGTAGGGCCGGAAGGCGCGGCGCTCGGTCAGCACCGACAGCAGCGCCTCCTCTCGGAAGAGCAGCTCGCGGATGACGCCATCGCCGCCCCGGAAGCGGCCGCGGCCCCCGGAGCCGGGCCTCAGCTCGAAGCGGCGCAAGATGACGGGGTACCTGCGCGGGCCTGGACGCTGAGCGCTGCACAGGCGGGGAGGGACTGAGCGCAACCCCGCCCCCGGCCCGGTTCCCCGCCCTGCCCCTCGGCGCCCTCACCGGCTCTCCAGGATCTCAGGGTCGGTGATGCGCGTGTTGGTCATGTGGCTGTGCACGCCGCTGCGTCCGTGCCAGCCAGGGCCCGCGCCCACGCCGCCCGCCACCGTCTCGTAGTAGCCCATGTGGGCATTGCCCAAGGTCACGTTGTTCATGCAGCCCTGGGAAAGACAAGCAGCCCCGCCCCGCCTGGTGGGCAGCCCCGCCCCGCCTGGTGGGCAGCCCCGCCCCGCCTGGTGGGCAGCCCCGCCCCAGAAGGCCCCGCCCCACCGCACCTGGGAAGCAGCGCAGGCCCCAAAGGCCCCCAAAATGACGTCCACTACGCGCTGCGAGGTGAGCACGTTGCCGCCAACCACCGCTGCCTCCGGGGACGGGTCCAGGATGGAGCCTCGCGGGATCACTACGCACACCGGCGCCAGGCAGCCCTGGGGAGCGCAGCTCTTAGGGGCGAGTGGGGGTGGCCACACTCTTAGGGTTGGGGCAGACACACCCCCCCTCCGGCACCCTAGGGTCAGTCCGCAGCTAGGCTCGCCCCCAGCCCCATGTACATGTACCCCAGGTGATGTGCCCACCTGGTTAAGTGGGATGTCCCGGCCCACCAGACAGCGCAGGCAGTAGATGAGAGCTGACAGAGTGATGGCCCGCGGGGCATTGAGGTTGCCAAACACCTCGGGCCCGGTGCCGCTAAAGTCAAACACCGCACTGCCCTGTGGGGATGGGGACAGTCAGCAGCTGGCACCCATGCCCAGTGGCCCTGTGTGGGCACTGCCCCGTGCCTGACCTGGCCCAAATTGATCTGCACCCGGAGCCGGATGGGGGAGCCATCATCCATGTGGTCCTCCGCCGACACCTCCAGCGGCAGACCTCGAGCCTGCCTGGCGGTCCCAAAGGCCCGCAGCATGTCCCGCACTGCCAGCTCAGCATTTGCCTGGCAGGGAGAGAGCTCAGGCCAGAGTGCCACCTCCAGTGAGGGCCAGGCAGCCCCTCCCCACCAGTACCCCCACCCCACCCCCAGGGCCCACCTGGATGTGGCCCATGTAGGCCTGTACCACGTCCAGCCCATACTGCCCAATGAGCTCCCCCACTAGCTGAATGCCCTTCTGGTTGGCTGCCACCTGGGCACGGAGGTCCGACAGGTTGTCGTGGAGGTTCCGGCTCCCACTGCAGCCGGGAATCTTTCCTGGTGCCCGCAGGGCCTCAGTCACCGCTGGGTGGACAAACAGTCACCACTGAGTGACCCTCCAGCCCCCCAGGCCACCTGGTGCCCTGTTCTATACCCCTGCATCCTGCCTGGGCACTGTGCCCCCATCTTGGCCATTCACTGGCTCCCTGCTGCCCCCCTCTGTGCCCCTTAGACCCCCAGCCTCTGCCTCTACCCTCTGCTAAACCTTTTCCCTCCCACCCCCCAGCACCCCTGTGTGCCCTTGGCCTTGGCAGGCAGCTCCACCTCCAACCCTACAGGAGCCAGAGGGGTCTGGAGTGGGGTGGGCTAGTCCCTCCCCACTTCCATCCCTCCTGCTGCCCCCCCCCCACCTGGCCCATCCCCTCCTGCCCTCTCTGGGTCTCCCTCCCCTCTCCAACTCTCCCCTCAGCCCTTCCGTTTTGAAAACGGCATCAACATGGTTGTCTCTACTGCCCTGCCCACCTCCCCACTCCCAGGAAGTTTCCCAGCACCCCAGCCCCACAAAGGTTGTGGACAAGGTCTCCCCCTCTCGCGAGTGGTGCACAGCCTCCCCGACCCCTGGGTAAGCCCCAGTCTGGGGCAGGTCTTTTCCAAGCCTCCCTGCCCCTGGGTGGACGTGTCCTCCCTGCGCCTGCATGCATCTCTGTCCACGCCCAGCCCAGAAGACAGGCCCGGAGCGTGTTGGCCAAGGCAACGGCCAGGCCTGATTCACCCCATCTGTGTCCTCGGCACCCAGACAGCCTATGGCTTGGCTACCCCCGCCCCACTCAGGGATGACCCCCTGGGTTCCTGGCCCCCTGTGGCCTCAGCCGAGCTCAGTATTTCCCACTGCCCCCTGCCCCACTGCCACTGAAGTCTCAGCTTCCCTGAAGCCTGCTTTGTGCCCCATCAGTGCCAGGACCTCCATCCCCCTGCAGCCCAGCCCCAACTCCTCCCCCCTCCCCAAGTCCCATCAAATACCAACTGCAGCCTCCATATCTGCTGCCCCCCAACTGCTGCCCCACTCAAGGCTCAGCACCATCCAGGGCAACTGCAGCCGCCCCCCACTTACTATCCCCGCCCGGCCTGCAGGCCGCCCTCAGACCCTCCCCTCCCCTCCCCATGGCGGGCAAGGGTCACTTACAGTGCCTAGGCATACCACAGCACACCCCACTTTAGCCGTTTACTGCTGCCCCACTGCCAGAGGGCTCACACCTGGGCCAGGAAAGCTCCCTGGGAACCTGCAGCCCCTCATGCCCCCGCTGTTTCTCTGCAGCCCCCAGCATGGGGCACAGGCACCAGGAGCACCGCCCACCTTAAAACAGGCTGCACCCCCTCCTGCACCCCACTCTGACTCTCCTGGGCCGTGCATCTCATTGCCCCGAGGTGTCACAGCCCATCTCCCTACCTCAACGGCAGGCCTAGGCTGATGGGTGCATCCCAGCATCTGTCCACCGGCCTACCCCACCTGCAGCCCCTCCCACTCACCCTCCTCCTGGAAGACGCCCCCCTGGACAAGCTTGAAAGACAGGAAGACAGCACCCTCCTGCTGCAGCGTGGTGGAGTGGGGGGGCATGGAGCCTGGGGTGATCCCTCCAATGTCCGCGTGGTGCCCGCGGCTGGCCACGTAGAACACAGGCCGTGTCTGGCCTGGCCAGAACACCTGGGGGGCGGAGAGCAGGGTTAGCTGCCTCGGCAGCCCCAGCCCCCAGGGTGGCCGGGCAGCTTCTCACCGGTGTGATGACGGTCAGGTCAGGCAGGTGGCTGCCTCCTGCACTGGGGTGGTTGCTCAGCAGCACGTCACCAGGGTGGAGGTCAGTCCCCAAGTGCTGGATCTGAAACCAGAAGACAGGCATGAAGCAGGGAGACAGGGGAGGGGGTAGGCGGGGG